ACTTTCCGTAACTTCCAATCTATCCATAGATTATATCTATCAAGCCAAGATAGTCCCAAAATGATAGGACATGAAGGGGTCTTGATAACATTAAACACAATATTGCTCTCATGGTTTTCAAGACGTACCTTCAATGGTTTAGTTTCATGGATAACATTGCCCGAAGACAATGGTCGTCCGTCTATGACTTCTACATGGACAGGCTTAAGTTTCTTTACAAGAGAAATATTGTGAAGCTTGGCAAAATCTTCATCTATAAAGCAAGCGAATGCACCCGAGTCTAATAAAGCATCAACTTGTAGTTCTTGAATACCCAGATGTAAAGGTACCATAAAACAATCTGAAGGTTGAGCTGAGAGAAAGGGACCTTGATTAATTTTGGATGTTGAGATGTCCAGCCGCATGGTCCCTATTGTGGCTGGGCGTCCTTATTTTCCTGCATGCTTGTACTCCTGAGTCTTGTTGTTTGAGGCTTCTGTTTCTTCCGACAATCTACAGCTTTATGGCCCGCTTCTCTGCAATATAAACACAAGTTTTGTTCAAACCGTCGCTTCCTTTCCTCAGCTGTGAGGGATTTGAAACGTATCACATCAATTTGCATGGGTTCAGGATCTGTGGAGTGATTCTCTGGACCTTTTGAAAATGTAGCAAATGCTCCATCATTTCTCCAGCATGATCGTCTTTCTTGTCGTAATTCAAAGAGGCAGTTGTCACAAATAATTGCCTGAGATATAAGTTCTTCTAAAGTATCCGCCTTAGGCATGGTGATCAATAAGTTCTTGACATCATCTCTCAGTCCATATCGAAATCGTGTCATGAACGCCTTATCATTCCAATCAAGATCACATGTAAGCTGTTGAAATTCTGCAGCATAGATTGCAGCAAAACGTGATCCTTGTCGCAGATTTTGTATCTTTCTTTCAGCCACTCTTTCTCGATCGCTATCTCCAAACGTAGCAGTAAGTCTCTCTATGAAAGCCTCTAGGTCATACAATATTGGAGAATCCTTCTCCAATAGTGGAGCAAACCAAGAGCGAGCATTTCTTGATAGAAGAGTACCTATGAAAGCAACCTGGGTAAATCCATTCGGATAACGAGAAGGGTATAGGCGTAGGTAAAGCCGTACTTGTTGCACAAAACCTCGGAAGTTGGCTCTTGTTCCGTCAAACTTGTCTGACATACTCACTTTTGGTTCTTTCGTACTAATCCTTGAAGTATCTATAGGGGTCGTATGTGACACATGTCTTGCTTCTCTCAATCGAATAATCTCTTGTTGTAGGCTATGAATTTTGCATCTAGCTTCTTCGGTCACTAGATCAATTTGAGGTTCTTTACTTGGATTGCGAAGAAATGCAATCTCCTTTCGTACACTATTCATAAGAGCTTGAAGATCTGCAAGCGTTGTCACTCTATTGTCTACTTGTGGAGATGCACTGTCTATGATCTGGTCTACTTCCATATTTAGAGAATAGATGGATTAAAATTTTGAGAGAAGAAGAAATTCCTAAGTCTCTTGGAGAAAATTGTAGCACTACCTGTCACTAAAACCTACTCGGAGAAAAGAAAAAAAAACACTAAACGATTTCAGTTTTAGAGGAGGATAATCCGCAACCTCTAAAAATGCCTCAACGCTTTCGAGAAGAGGGGTAATCCGCACTCTATCAAGAAGGCAAAGCTCTGAAATCGATGTTAACAGTCTTTTTTACTAGCTATGCTAAACAAAAAGAAGGAATTAATATCAGTCGAAGAGAGGGTAATCCGCAACCCTTAGAACGCTCAAGTATCTCCAAGGAAAGGGGTTGTCCACTCTCTGCCTCAAAGAACTAAGCTCTGATATTGTGATTGAGAAAATATCAGTTTAGAGGAAGGTAATCCACAACCCCTAAAGCGCTAGAATACCTTCAAGAAGAGGGGTAATCCGCTCTCAAACAAGAACGATTCAGCTCTGATATTAAGATAAAGGTAGTCTCGACAAACTGTCACGGACCAAAAATACAAACAAGAAATCTAAACAAAAAGTTCAAGAAGAAATGACAAGAACTAGATTATCAGATGAGTACAAAAGCAACGCCAAGAGAATTGAGCTAGAGCTTCAAAAGGTGTGTTGTCGAGACTGAAGAACTCTTCAGCCTCGACTCCTATAAATACTACTGGCCTATGGTTATGAGGAAGCGCATCAAGAAGCTTCCCAAGAACTATGAAGCTTCTTGAGCAACTACCCAAGAGCTAGAAAGCTTCTCAAGTAACTTCCTAGAATCTACTAGAATATTCTAAGAATCTTCTAGAGCCTTCTAAGGGAATCTTTAGGAAATCTTTGAAGAATATTCTAAGAGAATATTCAAGGAATCTTCTGAAAGTTTCTAGAGACTTCTTTCTAGAAGGTTCTAGAAACTTGTCTCTAGAAAGGTCTAAGGACTATGTCCCTAACAGTTTAGGACCTAAACTGCACAAATTCTATCTTGCTAGATTCAAGAGCCTCGGCTTGTTTCTTAGATAAAAAATTTGTTAAAAAACATAGCATATCTTTAGTGAAGAAAATTAAATTTTTTCATATAAAAGTTATAGATGGTGGTCTTTTGTCTTCTATATAAATTACTCATGAAATCTTTCTTATAGAAGTAACAACTAATAGTCATAGTAGCTTTATAATATTTCATATAATTAAATCTTTTTCTAATCTAGTCATTTTAGGTTTATTATGACTAAGAAAATATAATCCTAGAATAGATTGGATTTCTTGTAGTTTTGACTTTTTTGAGAGTATAACTAAGAGTGTTGTTAACTAAATAGAAAGTTATAAGTCTAGTACAACCAAACCTGTATTTGTAAGTGCAAGAGCTTTCTTTCATGCTACAAAAAAATAATCATCTTATATTATTTATGCCTCACCTATTTCTAATAGTAAAAAGACTTCAAGTGGCATTCTAAGCTAATATCATAAATTATCAAGATGTCTTTGAAAAGAAAAATGTGGATACTTTTTTGGAACATTACCTCTATGATTGCTCAATTAATCTCTAAGAAGGAGCTCAACTACCATTTGGACCAATTAACAATTTATCACAAAATATATTGGCTAAACTCAAGGAGTATATTGAAGAGAATCTAATTAAGAATTTTATAAACCATTCAAAATCCCTAGAAAGAGCTCTTATCTTATTTATAAAGAAAAAAGATGGATCATTGTAGATATATATTAATTATTGAAGACTCAATAAGATGACCATCAAGAATATTTATCCTCTATTTTTGATTGAGTGTCAATGCCATATAAGATAGGATTGGAGAGGGAAACATTGAAATGTTTTAGATTTTTATAAATAACCTGAAGTATTGATTCCAAAGGCTCTTAGATACGATAATTGGGTATCAATACAAAAGTGGGCCGTGACTCTAAGAGGATAGGTAATATATTTAGACAACTCAATATTATGAGATACACTATTGATAATCATGACAATGGAATTTATTATAGTTGATTTTGTAGAATTGCAAAGGAACAAAGAGTTTGATCCTAGAAAGAGAGAGTATCTTAGGACATATTTCATCTTATAGAATTTTTAAAGGGCACAAATCTAGAGGAGCTAAAGTTGAAGGAAATCAAAAACGATAGTGGAAGTAGAGTATGGTGAGGGTAGAGATGTAAAGAGAGATGAGACAATTTTGATAGAGGGTCCAAGTTGTAGGGTGGAAATCAAAGAGAGAGAGAGAGAGAGAGAGAGAGAGAGAGAAACAAAGACTGATGTAGTGGAGTGTATGAAATTATGTAGGTTATTTGGCGCTAGTGGCATTTTTAGGATTTGCAATCCAAATCATTGTATACCTAAGGACAAGACCTTTAGAAAACTTGAAGACTCAGTTGACTAAACCTTGGTAGAACACCATCGCAAATATATTGATCTTCCAATCAGTGTTGTAGATATAAAAGGTTTTGAACTCATTGATACTTTAATAGGTGATTTTCTTATATGAAAAATAGTACAAGATATAGAGTGGAGGTTTTTCCAAAGGAGATCTGGCTCATCCATGTTGCCTTGAATATTGACATTGTTCCATACACGATATTGTAATATGAGGAGGGGCTGCTAGAAATGGAAGCTTCTTTACATACAAGTCTGGGATCAGTACCTTTGTATGATCCATATTGAGATGCGTCTGTCTGGCTTATGACATTATGAGGTGACAAAGAATGAAATACTAGGTGTTAGCATGATAGTTCTTGTGATTGTCATTGTATGGATAGTGGTAGTGGTGTGGAGCTGGATTATAGGTAAGTGAATGTAAGTGGAAGGAGTTGTAGTGTTGATGGTTGTGGATGTGTAATTGTGGATAACGGCTTTCAAACCTATTTTGTGCTATTGATATATGAAGGGAGAATGCAATACAGGAAGCTAGGACAGAAGTTTATGTGTAAGAAAGGGTATGTGATTTTAAAAATTGTATATGGTGTAGATGTATAGAGTGGATGCAAGGGAGGGTGGAGGTGAAATGCAGAAGTAATCACTTTGTTATGGGATGTACATGAGTGTGTAGCATTATGAGCAAGGGCAATGATTTGTTACGAGTTTTAATGGAAGAAGAAATGTCTGTATATCCATGCCTACAAAAATAGACGTAGAACAATCAAGATTGCTCAATGGCATAGAAGTCTATAAATTTTGCCATCTTTTAAGAAATTTCTGAAGAATTTCACTTATTCCTTAATAATGAGTAGAATATGAAGTATGGATGTTTTTGCAAGGTGACAAAGTAAAATATATATAATGTGAGGTGCACAAAGTATTATTGACAAATGTGATGTTGTGAATAATATACCAATGACTCATTATTGTATAAGGAATACTTTTTGAAAGAAATTGAATTATTTGTAAAATAAATCATTAAAGGAAAAATGAGATGGAAGAAATTGGTGTGGTCAATCAAATGTATATTTATTATTTCTGATGTAAGTATATTTGGAGATTTGTGCAATACCACATGCCGTACATGTGTACAAATGATGTTATCAAGGCTTGAGGTGTATATCTCTTAGTTTTTGCTATTGTTTGTGACATACATGACAGTCCTCTGGTGGGAACTGGCGTTAATATGTAAAATAAGCACCATTATACGTACACATCGTGTACGAATTTTGACGGTGATGAGTATAGAGCGTAAGTTTACTCAGCTCCTTGATCACTGCAATTACATTTGAAATCGGAAAAAAATTGGGGATTGTAAGTATTAGAGTTTGGAACTGGGAGACACAGGGAATTTCGCGTAGTTTAATGCGAAATATTCCTAAAGGGATAACTGATACTCTCACACTTCCTCTGTTGCTCTAGGTAGTCTACGTAAAATTCCGACCACATCTGCCATTGTAGGACGTTCAGATGGGTTGTCCATGGTGCAAAGCAAAGCAAGCCTTAGTCCGTGGAGCATATGTGTTCTTTCTGTCATGCTTGATGTACTGAGAAGCCATGAGTCTAGTACAGATTCTGCCACCCTTTCTTCATTTTGCAGCATCTGCAATCTCACCCATCTCGTAATGTGCAGGTCTTCACCGAAAGTTGGATCCACTGCTTGCTTACTCGTCAAGAGCTCAAGCAATAGCACACCGTAGGAGTATACATCCAACTTCGTTGTCGGCTTTGCCCCATACCCTGCCTCTGGAGCGATGTAACCATATGTTCCCGTGACATGTAATGTCGAGGTCGCGCCATCGCTCTTTGGCTGCATGTCCAGCACCTTTGCGATGCCAAAATCCGAGAGATGAGGTTCTAAATCATCGTCGAGGAGCACGTTGCTGGCCTTTATGCCTCGATGCACTATCGCGGGGTTGTAGTCGTGGTGAAGACACGCCAATCCGTTTGCTACCCCCTCTGCAATCCGAAGCCTTGCTTTCCAGGGCAAGGTTATCCCTAACTCCTTGTTATACAACGCTGCGTGGAGGTCCCCATTACCAACATAATCATATAGGAGCAGCCCTGCCTCTTTCCATCTGCAGAAGCCGAGCAACTTTACGAGGTTTCGATGCTTCGCGTTTCCGACCGTCTCTATTTCTCTCGAGAAACTCTTACCAACAATACCAGATTTATCTAGAGAGTCGATCTTCTTCACCACGATGGACGTACCTGACGCCAACCTCGCTTTGTAAACGACTCCATGGCCGCCTCTTCCAATTACGCAACTATCACTTAGGTCTGCTGTTGCTGCCATAATCTCTTCGAATGTGATTACGAACCCTGGAAAGCTAATGATGTCGATGTCGCGCTCCAATGGTTCCATGGATTTTCTAGCAGGCCGCCACCACCACCACCACCACAAGAACATTACAACCAGGACCAATGCCACGGCAACGCCGAAAGCTATGGCCACAATTTCCCCTGTATGTATCTTTTTTCCTGTGCTTGTGGGGGTTGTGTTCACGCATAGATTGTTGGCAGTGGAGTTGAGACACAGCCCTGGGTTGCCTGCAAATGCTCCAGGGTCTTGACCTAAGAGGTTTCTCCAAGCAGACGGCAATGGGCCTGTGAGGCGGTTGTATGAGATGTTCACGTGAGAGAGGGAAGCGATCTTTCCAAGCACGTTCGGCACTTCCCCCGTGAGGTCGTTATGTGACAGATCGAGACTCTCAAGCTGGCTTAGCCTACCGAGGTCTGAGGGGATGGATCCTGAGAACCCGCCGTAGCTCAAGTTCAATCCCCTGAGCTCCGAAATGGCACCCAATTCTAGTGGAATCGGCCCGTTCCAAGGATTCTGCGCAAGGTTGAGCCTCTGTAAGCTGCTGAAGCCGTATATGTCTGGTTCGGCAATCCCTGTGAAATTGTTGCCCTGGAGAAATAAGTTCTTAACTGTTTTTACTTTTGCAAGTGCAACAGGGAGAACTCCACTAAGAGAATTGAAGCTCAAGTCCAAATGGAAGAGCTTAATGCAGCTTGCCACTGTCGCTGGTATCTCACCCCTGAAATTGTTCCTTGACAAGTCTAGGAGTTGAAGCTGCGATAGCTCGGAGAATGCCAAAGACGAACCCAGATCTCCCGTTAGGGCATTGTCACTAAGTTCTAAGTTGATGAGGCTGCTATTGGATCCAAGGTTCTTCGGTAGTGGACCTACGAGGCGGTTTCTCGAAAGGGATAAGTAGGACAATTTCGAGTTCATTCCGAACCCATCAGGAATTCCCGTGAACCGGTTATCCGAAGCGCGGAACCGAACTAGGGATTGGCAGGTGGAGAGGGATTTCGGAATGGGGCCTTCAAACTTGTTCAGGTGTACATCCACGAAGGACAAATTTCCCGCACGGCACAGTCCCTCGGGCAACGGCCCGGTGAACGAGTTGTTGCGAATGTCGAGCGTTATCAAGTTGTACAGTCCGAGGTCAGGAGGAAGTGGCCCCGACATGAAATTGTCATACAGGTATATATGTTGTAGGGTTGTAATGTTGGAGATCCCGTCCGGAATACGTCCCGTAAGACGATTCACGCAGAGCGCAAGCTCCTCCAATTTCGTCAGATTCACAATTTCCTCCGGAAGATCGCCCGAGAAGTTGTTGGAATTCAGCCGTAGCGAACTCAAATTCTTCAACATCCCTATCTCGGGCGGAATATTGCCGGAGAACATGTTGTATTGTAAAGAAAGATTCGTTAGTGATGTGCAGTCAAACAAATCCACCGGGAGAGGCCCAGACAGGGTGTTGTTGTGAACATCAAATATTTTAAGTCGAGCCAGTTTACCTACTGACGAAGGGATAGAACCGTTCAGACGATTCAGAAACAAATAAACATTCTGGAGCATAGAGCAATCTCCGAGCTCCGCCGGGAGTGGCCCTTCTAGCTGGTTGTCGTACAACTGCAGATCATGCATGTTTTGAAGCCGACCAAATTCTCGAGGGATACCGCCAGTGAGGTAGTTTGTGTGCAGGTACATCTTCTGTAATGAAGTCAAGTTGCCGAGCTGGGGGGGAATGATGCCTGTGAAATTGCTGTTCCGGAGATCCAGAGTGTTGAGGTTTTTCAGCTTACCAATCTCGGGAGGAATCGTACCTCCGAATGCCTTACCGCTCTGGTTGTGGACGAGGAGGGATGTGATAGTGGTAGCATTACCCAATGACGCCGGCAGGGAGCCGCTAAAATTGTTATTGTGCATCCATATATCTCCTATATTGGGCAACTTGGACAGCGCTTCCAAACCTGTACACGAAGACAAGTTGATTCATGAGTTGTCGGTTGTCTCGGTGGTAGCATAGTGTTCCAAACCTTAAAATTGGCTTGAGTGCCATGAGTGCAAAAAGAGTATAGGCCATACTTGCCGTAATATTGCAGTGGAGGAGGATGTCAATGATATAGAAGAGCTGTGGACATTTCTTTGTCAAATTGGAGACTTTAGTTTCAAACATACATGAAGAAAAAGCATCAACAGTCTTGCACTTTCAATAAGTTGTATGCCTTTGAACTTTAACCACAATACTTGGAGTATGAGGCATTCCAAACCTATGAAAAATAGAGTGAAGAACACTCACTTGAGTTGCAAGAAATAAAGCTTAACCACAATGAAGATAATTACTTCATATTATATCTACACAAATGACCTACTTCAGATCAAAAAAAGTCCTTAGAAGCTAAAATTATTGAGTTAGAAAAAAAAATTCAATAGTGTGGCCTTGTAAGGCAACTCAAAAGATTTTATGTGGCTTCTAAAGGTGGAATAAGTTCTTTTTTTTTTTTTGGAAAATTAAATGTTCAATATATCAAGACAAATGGTGGTTGTAGCTACTATAGATGCCCAAACAACAGCTAAGAATATGGCACCTACAACAAGTGAGATAATAGAACTTTTGATTAAGCATCCAAAAAATTGTACAGATCCTAATATTTAGGTGCAATTGCTTTTATTTTTTGGCCTTATGGATGTTAAATTTGCAATAAAGCCTTCTATTTCAACTTCAATACAAAATCAAGATACTAGTAAAAAATATGATACATACTTTGACTTATAAAATATGAAATATGTCAATATTTTCTAATGTTGACTTGTTGGCTTCAAAATTTAACTACGACAAGGTTGTTCCTTAAATGCTTATAATATGTAAAAATTAGTTAAAACATATTATATATTAATAAATCTAGATGTGTGTTAAAGTGGTTAATAGATTAAATTAAAAAGAGTTGGTATAAGAAAATTCACTTTGTTTTTTTTACTTTTTTGATTTTAGAATTAAAGAAAATATAAAATCTAAATATTTAGTTTGAAGCCTTGGGAGAAGGTGGAAGCCTAAGGATGAAAATATAAACAAGGAAGAGGCTAATTGGAAGGGATGAAAGAAAGGTATAGTCAAATGAAGGCAAAGAATGGAGAACTCCATCCCTATTGGTCGAATACCATGTCCAATGGGCTTTGAAGAGGTTGTCTACGACCTTAACAAGAATTTCGGTGATTTCAAAGAGAGCATTCAGAAATTAGAAGCCAAAATTATAAAGTTTAGAATTCGGACTACAATTTGTGTATAAAAATTAGAAAACTTTGAATTTGGATTAAGAAGATATAGCCATTTGAAGTTAAGGTATTAATTTAAGACATATTTTTACTCTTTTGAGGATACAAGGAGTTGTACGGTAGCTTTTGAAGATCAAAAGGTGCAATTGGAACGGCGATTTCAAGGCCTATATCTTTTAGAAAAGAATTGTTGCTTTTGAAGTTCATGTAAAGAAGTTATTAAAATTTAAAGGTGGCACTTCCAAATCAAAGGCAATAAGTGAGTAGTTTTTTTATAGTAATGGTTGGAGCCATAACTTGCATTTTCAAATAAATTTTTGGCTCAAACTTTTCAAAGAATGTAAGATTTTGTGTTAAAAAGCTATTCATACAAACTTTATAGGATTTGAGCTTATATTTTATGAGAAATGAAGAAAATTGCATGCAAGTGTATAAGACAAGGGTTTAAAGCATCTATTAGGATTTTCAAGATATCTCAAGCTTCGTAATGAATTTGCAATTGAAATTTATTGTAGAAGTTAATAAAAATACATCAGTATCTTATGTAAAATTTGAGTTTGTTTGGACATTTGGATTAAGAGATATGAGGTGTTGAAATTTGGAAAAATTACTAGATAAGGATATACAAGGTTTTAGAGGATTTTATCATATTTTGGGTGTTGTTGGTTATTTGAGGCTTATGTATTTGGTGTAAATGCTCAAAACGAAAATTTTATATATAAACTTAGGATTTTTTTTTTTTATTTATTTTGAAGCTTGATTGAATAATTAGTAACAGCTAGAAGTCCAACATTTTCTTGAGGAAAATTTTTTCTACCCTCACAATGGATTTTTTAATAGGCTTATAAAGTATTTGAAGGAAAAATGCATATTCCATTGTTAGAAGAAGCGCAAGAAATAAAAAAAGCCTTCAACACAAGAGAATTTAGCTAAGTTATAAATAAAAATTACAACTAAAGCTACAGCCATATTTAATGGGGATCACTTGAAGGCCACAAATATAAATCTTTTAAGTGAGGAGCCATTGACTACAAAGGTAGCATTTTTATTTAATGTCATAGATAAACATCTTTGAGAACATCAAAATTTGTGTCTACAAGTTGTACAATCAATTAACCACAATAATCTGCTTATTATTAGCTATATTAATGGCAATATCACTTATTTTACAACTTTGCATATTATTGTGTTGTAACACAGTTATATGGTAAAAATATAATCACAAATAAATTTCTAATTAATATTTAGTCAATTTGGTTGAATAATAATTCTAAAAATTTAAACATGGCTTTTATAAAAGCATCTTAGTTTATTTTATTGTCTTAATAGCTAATAGATTAAAGTTTGGTTAGTACTTTTATCTTCTATACTATAGAATTTCTTTTATTACTTTAAAAAGACCATAAATTAATAAAAATATAATAAAAGAGTTAAATAATTAATATGGGTGATACTAAGATTATACTGAGGATAGATTAGATTAATATTCAAGAGTCAATTATTTGTAGAACAAGGTTGAAATTAAACCTTGAACTACTAAATCAACCTCCTAGGACAAAATATGAATTCATTTGAAGATTGGCAATTGAAGTGCATGAACTAGCTTTAATCTTATTTCAAAGGTATAAGGCTTGTTTTATAGGATTTGGAATGACTTAGCAATTATTGTTCAAAGTTAAAATTTGTATCAATGACTTAGAATTTATGTAATACAATTAGGGCTAATACTCTTGGTTAGTTCATACAATTGATATCATATCTATAATTCAAAATTTAATAATGCTTGGTTGATTAGATGTGCTAAGTATATATAAAATTTAATATTAATTTAATGATGTAGTTAGAGGATATTTGGATTTTGATATAAGATGGTATTAAAAGTTGGTAATTTAGGATTGGATAGAATTTCTATAATATCTAAAGATCTACTAATTAAATTAAGATAAAATTTGGCATGGTATTAGAAGACTTTAAGATCAAGCTTTACATTGATTTTGAGCTGAATTTAATAGTTGGAGTAGGAAAAATTGCTATCGGAACATCTACATCAACTTTTAAGTTGGTGACTAAGTAACATCAATGTGATTTTTGGACTTTTTCTTACAATCTACATGTTAGATTAGACTAAATTTTTTTAAGCATATAAAAGACTTATAGTAGTATTTATTTACAAAATTATGCACCAAATAGATGATTAGATTAGAAATTACAGCTTGCCAAAGCTTATTGATGAGAATTAGGACTTACAAAGAGAAATCAAAATTGCTGAATTATGAAAGTAATAAAATAATTGGAGTTTATGTATGGTTGAGGTTAATAAGAAGAATATTTTTGAGTACTTTGTATTGGCTTTAAGAACTTTTGAATAGAAATTCAAATTATATTCTTCTTATATGGATGAAACATATTAAGATTTCTTGGATATTTATAAAATATGACTTTACCTTCTATAGCTAGGTACGTGGTACATTTTCAAATAAGATAACATGTATTATGACAATATTATGCTAGATTTTGGAACTTGACTAGTTATGATTACTAAGTATCTTATTTAAAAATTAGGTATCACTCCTACAAACTTGAAACATTATTATTTTTACCATTGTCACTTTAATAGGGAGCATAAAATAAGCTATTGGCTATACCAAATAACCTTAGTAATTAATATTTTATACTAGATTTGATCCACTTTATTTACACTTGCCTCTAAATTGTGCAATAATTAGTATCACTAATTATGATATTTTAATAGATCAATACGTTCTTTATCAATTTGGTTTTGGCCTAAATAATTGGATTGAAGAAGCATGGATTCAATTGAGATGGTTTATTCATGATAAAATGAAAGAATTCATTCTAATTATATTTACAATAATTGCTATGATTATGTCAACAAAAATCTTATTTGATTGTAGTACATTGATATCTAATTTGTCTAGTGAAGTAATTCTATTTTAAGAAATATTAGTATTTATATTCCATTCATTAGAACCAACTAATTTACTATCTTTAGAAGTTTATACAAAACATTGAAAAGATCTATCTCTTCTCAAGAAAACATGTACAAAATTTTTTTGTCAATGTGAAGAGCTTATATCTTTATTGAATATATTAAAGATATCAAAATCTTCTTTCTTACCTACTTTTACTCAACTTATTCATTGAAATTGATTAAATAAGGATATTATTCTGTAGAATTCTTTACATACATTGATATAAGTTTGGTAGGAGTATTAGTGGCAAGGCTATTTATTTGACAATACATTCATGTAGATATTTAAACTGCATCTAATTGAGCAGTTTGACATCATTTCTAAAGATTGTTGATTATGTATCCTAATTAATTACATTCTTTAGCCATTTTTAGTTGTTTTAGCTAACTTCCTTATGATGTCATCTTCTTTAGTAATGATGATTGAAAAGATTAGACAATATAAACTTATTGATTGTTGCATGGCCTTGTCAAGGTCATTCACATGTTAGAGCATGTCAAGGATTAGATGATTCTTGATTTAATTTATTTACAGATTTGACGTAGCTTACATAGTGGTGGTTTATGCATCAAATCATACTACATGGATATATTTTTGAAAATGTACCACTATTCAATATCATTTGAATACAAGTATTAGAATCTTATGAATATATTAATCAATTTTTTGGTCTTTCAACCTATGTGGATGTTACATCTTTAGACTCCTATG